TCCGGAACAATGGACACCGGCACACGCCCACAGCTATCCGGAACTCTGGACACTGGCACACGCCCACAGCTATCCGGAACAATGGACACCGGCACACGCCCACAGCTATCCGGAACAATGGACACCGGCACACGCCCACAGCTATCCGTGAGAATGGACGCCGGTAGACCCTGTGAACTATCCGTGAGAATGGACACTGATACACTGGGTGAACTATCTGTGAGTATTCTCCCAGGAAGAGGTTTTGCTGCTGCGGTGTAGCACAGCCTGGACATGGACGGTTTCCCTCGGGCGGCCGTGTGCTCTGTGGGGGGGGCGGGGAGGTGGGGGGTTTGTTGGCCACAGCTGTGTGATGACGGGGCAGACACTGGTGCCGACGACGTGCCTGACGACAGCGGGGGCACCTGGGGCAGGCTGGAACCCCGGGAATCCAACACAGACCCGTCGGAAGTTGTCACGATCACAGTAGCAGCAGAACTTGGCATTCCATACTTGCTGGGGAGAGAGACAGCGTGCAGCACGGCCCTGGCCGATTTGTTCTCCCAGCCACAGGACACAGGGGGAAACACTTCCTGTCCACCATCGTAGCAAACGGGGCCATTGGACACAGCCACTGCCTCTGCCACACAGTGTCTTTTCACACTTTTCTTCGAAGCATGTTTCTTACTGGACGAGTCCCACTCTGTACTTTCAAACACTTTATTCTCAGGCCTAGCAGCCAAAACATCTTTGGCTTCAACAGCTGGTGGCTGAGGCACAATCTTGGCACACCTTCCCACCACCATGTGGCCCTCCCCTCTCTGTATGCCATCTTGCTGGGAGCTGGGATCACTGAGTGCACATTGCACTTGCTGACAGTTTTCCTTCAGGACGTTGGAGTCTGAAGGTTCTGGCACAGCGGAGTGTCCGTCCTCCTGTCCATCGTTCAGATCCACCGAGTTCATGTACTTGGACACATTGGCCAGAAGGTCGAGGTTGGTCATGGGGTTGCTGCCAGTCTTTGGCTCTTCCTGTGTGCAGGTGTTGTTGCGAAACTCTCGAGCAATACCCATGATCAGCTGAGACGCTGTTGGCTTTTTATCTAAAGCCAAATCCTCGGCCGAGTTGTCGGTAGATTTGGGGGCGGGGATTTCCTCCAGCGCAGTCAGCTCCTCTGTGACGGGCACCTGGATCCCAACACCCACAGGACTGACCCCCTGCTTCTTGCCTCCCACACTCTTCACGACACCGTCACTTCCCAGCTGTCGTTTACTCTGGGGGAACAAATGGGGAAAAGTCCATTGTTAGTGACACCGATAACATACACACAGATAACATACACACAGATAACATACACACAGATAACATACACACAGATAACATAACAAATGGGGAAAAGTGGAGTGTCCAAAGTAATGCTCCAAAGACATCTACAAGAGAAAGTAAACTAAGTGTGTGGGTTCATCCTCCCGTCAAAGTAAGGAAATCAAGGAAATTGACATTGTTCTGGCTGGACGGCAAATTTTTTATAATTTCTTATTTGACTCAACACCTTTTATGATATCCAATTTAAAAACACATTTCTGTGTGGATTGTACTGAAAAACATTGATTAAAGGCACAAAAATTGTAAATTTTCAGTTTCCAATAACTCTCAAGCTATTTCAACTTCTATTTAGTTAAAGATGAATAACTTCCTTCTGTGATGTTATTGAACTTGCTCTTTATTAAGATTCAAAGGGTGAAATCCTTTTCCACAACATGACAAATATATTCAACACGACAATTTGAACTGTAACTAAAAGGTACGAACAATGAGAATGGATGTAATGCCGATTACTAATGGGGCTAAAATTATCTTAATATTAATTAAACCAATTAGCTTCAAAGAGACCTACATGGTGCCATCCATAGGATGATGTTATTGTGACACTTCGGTCCCTTGATCCTTACACACACACCTATTCTTAGTTAAACATGGATACAAGCATCACGTTTGAAAGATGATTACAAATTACAGTGCGAATGGATGTGTATTGTTCCCTTCCCCCCTAAGTTCAAATGTTATGGGATGTGTATG